CCGTGGAAGTCTGCAGAACCGCTGGAAGACTTTCTCATGCCTTCCCTCTGGAGATCCTTCCACACCCCGGCAGTACGTTCCAACACCCAAATTCGACGTCGAGAATTCATGCGACTGGCGAGTGAGGTTGCAGCCAAGTCCGTCACTGCCCGGCCATGCACCACTGCACCCGTTAGTAGCAGCAACGCCAACGACATGCCAGGCACAAATGATGGCAAAGCAGTTGCCGCTCGCAGGACTGCCATCGCTGCCACGTTCCTTTGGTTCATCCACTAATGGAGCATGAACAACATCAGGAACGTAGAGTAGTCCCAATCGTCGCCACCACTCCTCGTGCCCACTCCGTCCATGGCACAGACCGCGCAACACCAGTGCCAGCCGAAACAAAAACAACCAAACGCCTGTCAATTGTCAAGGGACGAAAATGGCGGTTGCGCACTTCCGACCTTTGGAGATGGCGATGGCGATGTCCGCGGCCCAACGCAAGGACTGAATGACGGGCTTGACAGTGTTCCAGCAGCCGGGAACCACCCACCTGTGTGTCTTCCCGCAACGGTCACATGGACCTTTCACCGGTGACGAGGGGTGGGTCCCTCACTCTCGGAAGGCTGGGACCCGATGCGGCCGTCCTGTAGGACGACATCTGGCCGCACAAGGTTTCGCACATGTCGCACTGCGTCACCCAAACCTGGTACGCTCCCCCGTTCCGTCGGTCCAGCGGGCACCTCCCGGACAATAAAAACTTTCCCTTTTCGGCCACCCCCCACTGCCCTTTCCTATTTAGGAAAGAAACATCGCAGCTTCGCCGCGAAACGGCCTCCGTGCTGGGATCCCGGAAAAAATAAGTTTCCAGCTTTCCAGAAACTCTTGCCCTCTCTTTGCGGCCGACCCGCTTTTCCATCTGCACGGCAGTGGGGTCCCAGCCTAAGTTACTTCCCTCTTCTATTTGTGAACTACCACGGCGACGTTCTCAAAGCAATTGCATAGTTTGGGTTTTCCGTTTCTTAAACCACCAGTACTTGGGCACTGTGCGCCGCGCCGGCCGCCCAAATCTCAAAGCAGGGCGGGCTGTCTATTCGATTTATCGACGGCCCGCCGGTCGCGGAGATCGCGTAGCGTTAACCCTAAGGCGTCGCCCAAGTACTCACAGTAGGAATTTCTTACGTAATCTGGGTATAACCGCGGTCAGATACGTTTAAGACAGTCTCAGTGTGAGTACGCCCTCATACATTCACCCGTGTGCACCATTCAGCCGCATGGCGGAGTACCTTCCTTTTTTTTTTGTTTTTTTTTTGGTACCTTCCAATTTATCGTAGATCGATATGTGATATTGGCCTCGCCGCACCATGCGCAAAATGAGAATGACTCCAATGGATGCACCTCCACTCATGTGTGCCTACTGCTCTGTGGTGCTCAGAAAAAGGTATGGATGTCTCAACAATATGTGACGCCTGTTCCCACCCGTCTTTGGAAGATTGGCTGCACCTCTGGTGGGAATGCATCATTGCTAGAGGTTTCTGGGAATTTTCAGATTCCCTATGGCTGAAGGCGTACTCAGTGAAGGGCTTTTGGAATCAAGATTTGGTAATAACAGGTAGAATACCGGAGGTTTTCAAACACCAACAGGCGGGCTCTGTGGCTCAGATCTTCAGAAGAAGAGCTTTTTGGATACTATGGGTGGCAAGGCGTGATAGGCGCTTCCTTAATTCCAAACATCCTCTTTCTGCCCTGATCGCCAAGTTTAGGCACTCTGTTAGAATGGAGATTACTGCAGAATGGACCAAAGCTAAACGTTGCTCTAGTTCCCCGCAAGTATCTATGGAAAACTTTCGGAGAAAATGGTCCGTACCTTATAAATGGGCCGGTTTTGGTACTAACGAGAAGCTATTCTACTCTGACCTCCTATGGGATCAATCTCCCAGTCCCAGTATCTCTACTTTCAATCAGGCAGCCTAGAGCTGAGAGGGACTGTGATTTCTTCCTTTTACCCCAGTCTGGTAGGTGGGTAATACGGTTACGAGTTTTCTGCCTACTCCCACTGTTACAATTTTCGTCCTGTTCTTTGCTCAGTTCTCCGGGCAGACTGTGGGGACCCCGGCCCCGAGATACCTCGTTTAGTTGTGTATAAGGGACGCTGGGCCCGGTTCCCAGTATGTGCTGCTCCCCACAAATAGAATGGAGCCATGTTTCAAGCAAAAAAAAAAGAAAAAAAGAAAAAAAAAAAAGAAAAAAGAAAAGAGAATGAAATTTTCTCGCTAGAACATAGAAAGATACACGCAGTCCTCGGGGATACACAGAAGATTAGCATGCCCCCTGCCCAAGGATGACACCCATGAATCGAGACAAGATACACCCGCCGTATTTTTGTTCAAACACGAAAAAAATAAAAATATAGGTCCTCGCTGCAGTACTCTCCAAATGCACAAAATGAGAATGAATATTCCTGTAGAACATGGAAAGGTACACCACCATATTTTTTGTCTTTTGTGCACGGGAAGAGTAGTGCAGCGAGGCCCATAGATAGCGTTGGCGGGAAGCGTGCGCTTTTGCTGTTCGTCCCACTGGCAAAGAGGATAGGATCGAATGCCCGAATCTGGACGAGTTTGTGGAGATGTGCAGGAAATCGAGAAGATTGAACTGCTATTCTGCATCTGAGCTTAAAACACATCCAGATCAGGAGCTCGACCCTATCCTTTTTGCTAGTGGGACCTCGGTTCGGCGCCGTACGGCAACCCAACAGCATGAAGAGGAGAGCGACCCAATTTGTTTCGGGCGCCTACGGCAACCCACCCGCCCAACAAGAAAACGAGTTTTTTCTGTATGCCCGCAGCCTGCGCTCGCGCGCGCGCCCTCATGTGTGTTTTTGTATCTCTGTCTGTGTCCGTGCGAGAGAGACACCAACGCTGCTAGAGTATCGATCATTCATCACCGGAATGATACTGCCCGCAAATGCCGCTTTGAAGGCGCTGCCTGTGCCTGTGTGTGTGTGTGTGTGTGGTGTGTCGGTGTGTGTGTGTGTGTGTGTGTGTGTGGTGTGTCGGGGTGTGTGTGTGTGTGTGTGTGTGTGTGTGTGTGAGAGAGAGAGAGAGAAAGAGAGAGAGAGAGAGAGACACCAGCGCTCTGTGTGTGTGTGTGTGTGTGGTGTGTGGGTGTGTGTGTGGTGTGTCGGTGTGTGTGTGTGGGTGTGTGTGTGTGTGTGTGTGCGTGCTGTCTCTTATACACATCTAGATGTGTATAAGAGACAGGAGCGAGAGAGAGAGAGGGAGGCGCAGATGGGCGTGGAGATGGCATGGAGGGAGGTGGTGAGAGGGGACACGGTGATGTGTTGGGAGAGGCGGAGAGAGCGAGATGGGTGGTTGAACCGACCGCTGGATGCATTCGGGCCGGAGAT